CTGGCTGCTAACCAGGTCAGAGGTTCAAACCCACCAGCAGCTCCACAGGAGAACGATGAGGCAGTCTGCTTCCCGAAAGATTTATGGCCTCAGAAACCCTACGGGGGCAGTTTCACTGTCCTACAAGGTCACCGTAACTCAGAGTCCACTCAGCGGCAGTGGGTTTAATTTTGGTATTTAGAGATCTATGTATCCGTGGCGTCCGTGGGTGGAACGCAGGGGAAACACGCTTGACTGTTAACTGCAAACTTGGAGGTTTGAGTCTCCGGAGAGGTACCTTGGAAGCAAAACCTGGCAACTTGTTTCTCTGAGAAACCCGCCACTGGAAATGCCGTGGGGAGTAGTTCCACTCTGATCCACACGGGGGCGCTGGGAGGCGGGGTGAAGTGAGCAACAAAGGGTTTGATTTCCGGAAACCATGGGCAATGCCAATGGCTAATGCATTTGGGTGCCAACTGCTGGTTGGAAGTTCGAATCCACCCCGAGGCCTGTTGGAACAAAGGCCTGGCCATCGACTTGTAAAAAATGAGCCACTAAAAACTGTTGGAGTGCAGTTGCACCCCGGCCCATGTGGGGGTGTCACGGGCCACATTCACTGGATGGCAAGTCGGTTCTATTATTATTTTTTTTGTGCATGGGGTTTTACCTTAAGGAACAGCCAGCCGAAGAGTTTCTTCATCAGCCGCACGCCCCAGAAGAGGTGTCGGTAGAGGTCGGTGTTGACCACCCCGGGGTCCACCGCGTTGGCGGTCACGTGGCTGCCTGAGGAGGTCAGCAGGTGCTGCAGGTGGTAGGTGAACAGGACCAAGGCCAGCTTGCTCTGTGCGTAGGCTGCGTGGGGCGAGTAGCCCTGGCTGCCGGGGCAAAGAGAGGACCGTGGGAGGGCTGGGTGCAGGTCAGACCCCATGCCACTCTACCCTGTCCCCAGTCAGTGAACCTCATCACGCCCTTGTAGGACCCACCCTTTAGGACAGGCTTGAGATGGCTATGGAGGATGGGATGCTGGCCACCGTGACTCGTAACAGGACTCAGAGCACTGGGTTAGTTTTTTTAGAATGCCCTTTGCATTTCTTTTTTTAAAAATTCTGATTTGGGTGAAAGTTGACAGAGCAAGTTAACTTTCCAGAGAGCAGCCCACAGACACTTTGTCTCAGGACATTGACTGCAATCTCCCACAATGCAACAGCTTCCCTCCCACCTCCTCCCCATAGTGACCTCTTCCCTGTGTCCTTCCCTCCATGCACTCCTGCCCCCTGAGCTGTCTCCCTGTGCACACACAGCCCTTCTTTCTCCCAGGATTGATGTCTCCAAGGAGTGTACCTACCTCAGGTAAATGTTCAACTCATAGGCTTGTGTGTGCTTTGGCTGGAAGCCACAGGAGTGGGTTCGATTCCAGACCTGAAGGGCAGCTAGGGGCCATAGTCACAGGGGTTCCCCCAGGCTCTATCAGACCAGCAAACCTGGTCCCCCTTTTTTTTTTTTTTTTTTAATTATTTTGCATTTTATTCCACACTGTTCTCCCACTCTATCCAGGATCTCCTACATACGCCTGAGTGGTGGACAGTGGTAACGGGATCGGGTTTGTTTTGAGTCACAAGCCTCAGGCAGGCTGGGTCAGCCTGAGGGGGCTACCCCTGTGACACACTGGCTAAACACCCTGACACACTCCCATGCACACACGATGTACACACACACACACACATCTTCAGGTACAGGCTAATCACTGGCTTTGCTGGCTGTGAATGGGTTCCCCAGTTCCTCTGACAACCAGTCCCCCAAACCACACCCACTGCCCTGGAGTCCATTCCGACCCACAGCGCCCCTAGAGGACAGAGTGGAACTGCCCACAGGGTCTCCAAGGCTGTCAGTCTTCACAGAAGCAAAGCCCAAACCACGCCCACTGCCGTGGAGTCCATTCTGACCCACAGCGCCCCTAGAGGACAGAGTGGAACTGCCCACAGGGTCTCCA